TTTAGTCTAGTAAATCACAATAACACAAGCTAAGTATTACTTATGAGTATAAACATTAAAACTTTAAACTTTTAGTCTAGTAAATCACAATAACACAAGCTAAGTATTACTTATGAGTATAAACATTACTTTTGGTTTCATTTCATCATTCAAGTTTTACATTAATTTAGATTGATGTTTCAAAATAATTCCCGCTTCACGTCTGTGTTTGATATAAAGATCAAAATATTCAAATATTTCAACTTGATACACAGTTTTGTTCTTGACTGATTATAAATACTCTAGGAAATAAATAATCAAAGTCCCAGATAATATTATGCAATGACTGCAAACAGATCAGTGTATGTCACCGCAAGTTGACATTAAACGTTCTTCAAATAAAATCCACCAAAATTCATTTATATCATTTTCCATTATGATGATGTAGTCAGGGGTTAAAATTCCTAGGTTAGCTACTTTAACGCTAACAGGTTATTTTTTCAGTGCAAGATAAAAAATACTGAATATTTGTACAATTGTGAATAGTTTTCTTAATGTAACTTTGCAACAGGTAATTAAAACCTAAAGAGTAAAAAAATATTCTTTTTCTCTTTAATAAATGATCAGAATAAATCAGATTTAATAAATAAGTATTTAAGTGAAAAACAAATTGCGCTTAATGCTACATAAACCGTATACGATATATCATATGCACAAGCAAATACATAATTAGCAGGCTAACCCTATATTGCTACAGCGTAAGTCAGTAATAAGCTTATATTCAATGTGTACAAAGAAAATTATCTAATTTAAAGCTTGTTTTACAGAGATTTTGATAGACAGGCTTAAACATGCGGTTTGGATTAAGCCTAGCATACAAGTTACAAGTAATATTAATAATAATTTAAATAAATAATAAAGGTAGATAGACGAGAGGGTCGTTAGTTGATAAAAACTTTGGAGCTAAGATGATTAATTTTGATTAAATATATATCATTATATTACACTGATAGTGTATATTAAGTTTTTTTATCAATTTCCTACTTCTTTTGAATCATAATGTACGCCTCGGGTCACAAGTTTTGCATTGTTACATATATTTGATAGTATATACATCTTACTCTTACTTTTAGTACAGGCTTTACTTTAGATCTTGCTAACATAATCTTATATAAATGAAATGTAATAAAGTAGTGCCTATACATACTTCTTTTAGTTTCAATACATTAAATTACCTGTAAAATATTTTATTATCCTTTAAAAGGTCTTTTCCTTTTCCTTGAACGATAAAATAATTGCTCGTTAGTCCTAAAATTTTTCCCCACAACTGCACTTTCTCAAGCCTATTTTCATCTCGAAGAATGATACACGAATTTTTCAAAATAATTCTTTCTTCTACTGATAATATATGACCACATGTCGATACAAAATTCATAGTAATTGGTGCTAGATATAATATAGCTATTTTCAATTTCAGTAAAAAAATCTAACTAACAATATTTTAAATATTCCGGTTACTACAAGTACAAGACAACCACAGGTCTAATACTACTGATCGCTAACGTTAGTCTTCAATAAAGGCTATGCTCTAAAGCTACTTTATCTGAATCTTTTGTGTGTGGGTGTGTGTGTGATCATCAAATAATGACAAAATTTACTTTGCATTAATAGTTCAGTCAGCCTACGCAAAAACATACCTCAACATCAAACAAATTGCAACAGAAACAATGCTTTGATTTATTGTTAGAGATATGTATTGCGAAGTTACACAAGAAAGTCTAGAAAAATCTAAACGGGGGAAATGCATAAAATTTTCATTTTTCTTATTAACATATCTGATGAAAATAGAACAACTTGATTTGATATGTACAATCACATACTCTCATTATACACTCTTTCTGTTGATATATGAATAAAAATACACAAATAGATAAT